AAGTGTGCTTTTCAATTCTTTTTATAAATAAAAAGTTTCTTTGTAGGAGATCTTCCTAAAAGATTTGCAGACCTCAAAAGATGTTTGATTGTGTCAACACTACATTTTACATTATAAAATTCCTTAATTTCTGCATTTACTAAGACAGTATTTTGCGTGGATCATTTTTCATGGCTTGAGGATGCGTATTTCAGCAGGATAATGACCCAAAAGACACTTCAACCCTTGTAAAATACTTTTTCAAAAACAAAAAAATTCAATTAATGGAATGGCCATAGCAATGTCCTGACCTTAATTCTATTGAACATTTATGAGAACACATAGATTGACAAATTTCAGGTTAAAAACCAACAAATAATCAATAAATTTAATTTATTGAATATTCTGAAACAAGAATGTGGAAAAATCAAAATTATTGTGATTATGAAGCTGGTGGACTCATGACTTGTCACTGTCAAGCAGTAATTAATGCTAAGGGCTTCCCAAAAGAGTACTAAATCAACTTACTTTAAAATAAAACATTTTCAATTAAAAAAATGTTTAAAAAATAAATCTAATTCAAGTCTTTTTTTTTCTGTCTGGATACTTTTGCACATGCTAATTTTAACTAAATTAACTTTTAAGATTAGATTGCTTAGTTTTAGTAAAAATTTATTTGTTTTTAGATTTGTAATAAATTTTTTGACATTTCAGTGAAAATTGAAAAGAAATATACATATATATATATACATATATATATATATATATATATATATATATATACATATATATATAGATATATATACATATATATATATATATATATATATATATATATATATATATATACATATATATATATATACATATATATATATATATATATGTATGTATATATATATGTATATATATATTTTTTTTAATTTTAATTCACCTCCTCAAGGCCGAGAAGGCCACTACAGACGAGGAGGCTACTTGTTTGTGGTTATAACCCTCTCTCAACTCTATAACTCCGAAACACGAACCTTGACGAGCAAGGCCGCTGCGCGGAGAAACGAGTTAAGCGCGGTACTACCAGGGACGTGGTGGGGTTCGAACTCGGAACCACTCGTTTATGAAGCGAGCGCTCTACCACTACACCACTACCGCATATATATATGCATATATATGTATATATATGTATATATATATATATATATATATATATATATATATATATATATATATATACATATATATATATATATATATATATATATATATATATATATATATGTATGTATGTATATATATATATATACATATGTATATATATATATATATATATATATATATATATATATATATATATATATATATATATATATATATGTATATATATGTATGTATATATATATATATATATATATATATATATATATATATACATATATATATATATATATATATACATACATATATATATACATATATATATATACATATATATATATATATATATACATATATATAATATACATATATATATATACATATATATATATATATATACATATATATATATATACATATACATATACATACTTCGACAAATTGTAAATATTTGGAAGTCTCCTGGTTTCAGCAATTACTTAATTTCTGAGAGAAGTATAATGGAAAAGTTTAAATCTCTATACAGCAAATACAAAACTTTGTGCAACAATAAAACCTTTCAAATCAAAAAGCAAATTTCCGAACGCCACAAAAATGACTTTTACAATATGGTAGAGCAATTGTTTGACATCAGTGTGAAGGACTTTAAGATGAAGTTGAGACGTGATGAATCAATGCCTCGTGATACTTCGGCTTTACAAGAGGATTCGGCCTTCTTAGATGATCAAAGGTATTTTTTGCTCAAATTTTTTTGCGAAGATTTAACCTATTTTTCAATTATGATATATCTACTAATTTTTCCCTTATATAAAAAAACCATTTTTTTGAGAAATTTAATTTTTTTATTCAAATTTATCTTACGCTAAGTGTTTTAACAACTTTTTGCACAGAACTAACAGAATTATGATCATACCTTCTAAAATTGACACAGAGCTTGAAGCAAGGTTTCAGAAAGATTGATAGATGCAAGAGGAAAGAAGAATATAAAAATCGAGTACAGAAGAGCAATGATTCAATAATTCGTGACAACGAAGAAAAAATTGGGGAAAAAAGGCAATAGAATCACAACTTTTTTCCTAACAATGATATAAATTTCAATTTCGCAAGTGAGGAACCTTCAGAACCTAAAAAAACAACAAAAAACAGCTGAATCACAATTAGGTAATATTTAAGTATAATTTGTTTAATACATGAAAATATTTGTTTCAACTTATGATTAAATAAAAATAGAGAATATAAACAGTTTTTTCTAATAATGCACAGACATTTTAGGCAAAACTAATAATTTTTTGAAGTAAATGTATAACTGAGCTAAAAATCTTTACATTAAATTAGATGTTAGATGACAAGATGTTAGTTTTACATTTTGATGGTAAAATTTTAAAGCATTTTGAGGAGGATACTAGACAGGCAACTACTGCAGATAGACTATCAGTATCTGTTACTAGCCCAGAGTTTGAAACCAAAGATGATCTTTTACTTGGTGTTGTCCCAATTGATAGTGGTAAGGAAATCGATATGGCTATAAGTATTATGTATCTCCTAGAATATTTTAAAATTTGTGACTATATTGTAGGATTCTGTTCTGACACCACAGTAAGTAACACTAAATGGAAATCTGGTGCAATAACTATTATGGCAAGATTTTCTTGGTAAATCATTTCCTTGGTTATTGTGTAGACACCATATTTCCAAAATAAATATTACCTGGGCTTTTAAGGCAATTTCAATGGAAATGTCTAAAGCCCCTGCAAATAAGTTACTAAAAGATTTTTAGAAGAAATGGATAACAGAATTTTTTCCTAAATTTTCAGCTAGTGGTACTTTAGAAAAGTTCAAACGATTTCCTGAGCAAGACCTTATTGTTGGTAGTGATCTCGCAAACTCTATTTGAAGTCTTAAAAGTTTGTAACTAAAGCACTAGAACATGAAATCTTCCCCAGGTATGTAAAAATAATATAAAATGAATTAGTTATTCCATAAATATACTTTTTTAAAGTTATTAAATAAAATTAGGAATATTTTAGGAATGATTACAGGCATCTTGTTGAATATTTGGCATATTACATGAATAATAAGTCTGAGAAATTAAATAATTTTCACATCTATCAGCCTGGCGCCTGTCACAATGCTAGGTTTATGGCCTATGCAATATATTTTCTAATGCTCAATATAACATCCACAGTCATTGAATATCTGACTCCTGAAAAGAAACATATGGTCTCAGGGTAGCATTTATTGTTGCTATTTATTATGGACCTGCCTTTCTTAAATCAGGCAAAGCAGAGCAGGTTTTCTAAATGATTTTAATGCATTCAAAATTGCTGAAACAATTAAAACAGAATGGGATTATAAAGTTGGAAACTCACTTCAAAAAAGCATGAGTAACTACACATGATATTTGTCTCTTAAAGTTGTTGTACTATCGTTAAGACAACTTTAGGAGACAAATGAGGATCACCTCATCTGCTTTCATATGAGGTGATCCTCATATGAAAGCAGATGCTAAGCGTTTAATCGTTAAGAAACTTTTAAAATTTCTAATTCCTGAGTTATCAGAGATTTCTATTACAGCTCCTTCTGCTGTTATTGTTACCAGTGATAGTCGATTAGAAGATTTAATTATGAAGGAGAGTTGGCTTTTTTTATACTTACAGGTCACACCGAATCTGTTCGAGAGTGGCATACTTCAAGTGAATTCTTAGCGCTAGATTCATATTAACATTTTGCTCAGTTAGTTTGCAAAAAAATTTTAAAAGGTTCAAATGTAAATACTTTGCAGCATTTTAAAAATTCAACCTAATGAAAATATAGCAATGCGCATAAACGTAATAAGCGTAAATAAAAACTTAGACAAACCAAAGATTTTCTTATTTAAATGACTCAAATAAGTATTAATAAAGTTGTAAATTTAAAATAATTTTTGTAACAACTCAAATTTAATAGTGCAATAAAAAGTACTGGTTTCTATAAGCATTAAAATAACTATTACGTTAAAACTTTTATAAAATAAATTTAAAAGAGGTTTTAAAAGCTAAAATATTTGTTTGATATTTATAAAAACCATCAGACAAAAAATAAAATAAATACTAAACTATAAATTTAAATTAATAACTAATTGAAACGTTTTGATATAAATGATAAAAACTGGGCTACTTAATTTAAAAAAATTCAATGCTTTGGTACCTTTGAAATATTGAATTAATTCAAAAAAATGATGTATTTTATTAACATAGCCATATGTTCAACTTCAATTTTTCTTTAAAAAATAAAAAGTTCATTTTACTCTTTAAAGAAAAGCCATATGTTCAACTTTTTATTTTTTAAAGAAAAATTGAAGTTGAACATATGGCTATGTTAATAAAATACATCATTTTTTTGAATTAATTCAAAAAGTAAAGTTTATATACAATACTGAATTTATTAATAATTTTGGAGCAACAAAAATAATTAGAAAATAAATACACATAAAAGATGTCAGACAAAATGATAGATGTTTTTTACCGGACAAGTGCTGGGCAATGTCCTATGTCTAGCGCTTATTTTGAGCCCTATATATATATATATATATATATATATATATATATATATATATATATATATATATATATATATATATATATATATATATATATATATATATATATATATATATATATATATATATATATATATATATATATATATATATATAAATATATATATATATATATATATATATATATATATATATATATATATATATATATATATATATACACACATACACATACACAAACATATATATATGATATATATTCATAGATTATTCATATAATATATTCTTAATTATTCATAATTTATTATATGCACTTTTATAATTTTCATACCTCGTTTAATTTTTCAGATTTAGTTTTAGCTTTAAATACAGGCAAGCGAGTTGATAATGTAGATGTTTGAGACATTGGACGTAATTTTGATGCATCAAACTTTGGTTGTAAAATTCTTGACTGTTTAGAAACAACTTTTTCAGATGAATTAACATTTTTGTTGTCTTCATGAATACATTTCTTATTTTTTAAAATGTTTTCTTTGTTTTTTTCATTAACAGATTTGGTTTTATCTTTTACTTCACGCATTATTGGATGAACAACTGCTACTGGACTGCCTCCTTTTGACGTACCATGCTTTAACATCAAACTTAAATATGCAGATTCTTTGAGAACCAAAGCTTGTTGCTCAGGGTTAAGGTCTATATTTTGAATTTCTTCTGCCTCTTTTACAACTGTAGCTACACATCTTTCCTTATGAGTCAATGGACCAAAAAACACTTCTTCATCATCACTTGTAGTTGATGGATCACTAAAAAGGATAAAATTATATTAATAATAATCATCTCACTTTTATTTCTATAAGTTTGTAGTTATGGTATTTAGAGACAAAATCAAATCATTACATTGAATTCTAGTAAAGATATGGAAGAAATATTTTCACACATAAGTTTATTACCTGTAGATCACACACTATTCAAAGCACTTTAGAGTTAAAGCTTCTAGTTTTAAGGCCGTTAGTTTTAGTGTGTTGTTACCTTAAACATTCTTGCTCTAGACAATGCAACCAAGCCCACTATCATTATATGATTGAGCAAAATAATTCAAAAAGATATCATTTTTTTAAAGTTATGCAAAATATGTATTGTTTGTTTTAATGAATAAATATAAGGAATGAATGCAAATGTTTTTTTTTTAATCTAGTTAACTTCTAACAAGGTTGCAAGCAACCACTTTTAAGTTGGAATTACTAAAAAACAAAAAACAAAGTTAAAGATCAAGGAAATGGTTGATAGAAGACTTGAAAACTTTTTTCTTTATTTTACAGTTTATTTTTTACAACTATATCATATTAAATAAAAATAAATTCATATCAAGAAATATTAAATATTAAAATTAATCTGTAAAACAGGCACAATGCTCAACAAGTGTGGCACTTGTGTTAAAAACTGGAGAATTATCTTGGATCCAAAGCATCAAATGTTTAGTCTCTGAAGGGTTATCTTGAAATATGGAATTTGATTTAAACATACAAAGAGCATAGAAGAATTTGATTTAAACATACAAACATTATCAGAATTAGGCACCTATTATGAACCAGGTGATGCAATTTTTTCTTGGGAGGGCATCAATCTTATATTTAAATAAACAAATATATGAGTGTTAATTATGTAATTACTAACTTATTTTTCAGCAAACTAGGCTTTACTTAACAAGGTTAGTGTTTCAGAGTTATAGAGTTGAGATATATAGAAATAGAATATGGTAGTGGTGTAGTGGTAGAGCCCTTGCCTCATAAACAAGAAGTTCTGAGTTCAATCCCCACTATGTCCCTGGTAGTACCGCGCTCAACTTGTTTCTCTTCGCAGCAATCTTGTTCATCAAAGTTCAAAGTTCAAATTTTGATGAACAAGATTGCTCTTCGCAGCTTCGTTCATCAAAATTTAAAAAAGTATAAATAAAACAAATCTATATATCTTTCTAGCATACAAAATAATAAAGGTATTAATTAGCTATATTGTTCCAGAAACATTGAACAGGATAAAATTATAGATTATAACAAAATAACAGGATAAAATAATAAAATATACAAAATAACAGAATAAAAAACTACCTTATGTCAAGCTGCCTTGTATGATTCACTTTGCTAGACAAAGGCTAGGAGAAATCAATTCAAAATGACTTAAAATATCTCATGTCTTGTAACTCTTAATGGAGTAAATACTAGAGATAGTGTCTCAATTTAATACTTATCAGGACAGATATTAATTACATCCTGCTATTGTCTTAACGAAAGCCTTCTAAGCAAAGACTTCAAGGGTAAGCAGAAACAAGTGTTGACCAACCTTGCACTACTTTTTCATCTAATATGCTAACACAGATGTAAAACTGTGTTACATTATTTATAATTAAAGATAATAATTGATGGATGTTTTTGACTTTACTCATGGGTTTATGCTAGTACTTTTTTGATAGGTATTGAAACCTTTTTGTTATTTTCAAATCAGGCTTCATAACTCAATTTAATGGTTCTAAGGCCAGCTGGTCTTAAGGTTTCTCAAAATCTGTGGTAGCTCTATATAAGATCACTCCACTCATCAGAAAAATTTTTTTCTGTCTTATGAGTTTTTATATATAATAAAAACTTCTTTTCTTTTTTTTTTTTTAAAGCTCTAAAAGAGGTTGATTCCACCAACAATATAACAACAACACATGATTCAGCACAATGGTACTATCAATACTCAGTTATAAAATATCAGAGTATTAACAGTACCATTGTGCATGGAAGGTGTCCCTGCTAGCACTTTTGGTGTGCATTTACAAGGCGGCATAAAAAACTCATTATTACAACTTTGGTTTTGATTACCAGGAATGTGGCATTCACATAGCTTATTGCTTAGGGTGTCATACACTATCTGTGATTAAATCAAGTTCTCTAATAATTAAAAACCATGAGCAAAGTAACTAAACACCATGAGCAAAGCACTTAAAAAAACTTATTAAAAAAAAAGCATCATTACAAGCATTTTGTTTCTATCCTTTACAAATACTCATGGTCTTTGAAGTGAAGTTTTATCTGTTGAATTTTTTATCCTTTTGCAAAATTTAAAACCGAAAAAAAACTTGCATGATGTGACACATAATTTATCTATTTCATCTTAAAATTTTAGTTTTGGTGGCTGTAATCTTTTGACTCGCAAATAGCTGTCTCCTGGAAAATAGCTATTTTTGCCATTTTTAAAAATTATGGATACCATTCTCAAATAAACACCTATTTAGGCTTCTACTATTATTTTTAAATCTTTTTTGAATTTTAAATTTTGCAATAAGACAAGGATTATTGCTCTTGATATATGTGTATATAAATATGTGTATATAAATATGTGTATATAAATATTCTTTACTTCCTTCCAGATGAACCTGGACTTTTCTCAAGTCGTTTAAAGAATGGAGAAAGTGAATTTTAATTACTCTATCAAAAGTAATCCTATACCATCGGAAGATGGTATAGGATTATAACTAAAGAGCTTATGAAAAGAGCTTATGAAAAGTAATTCAAGAATTTTTATTTTTTAAAAAGCTTCCTCTAGGTGTTCTTTTATAAGTCTGGTCCTATAGGTATACTTTTATAACCCTGTAATTTTACCTGCCTTTTAAATGTCCATTTTAATCAAATATTTAAAATATATAAAACTAAAAGAAAGGAATATAAAACTTGTTCATTAAACTTACTACGTTATTGAAGGTGAGTTAGCAATATCAAAATCAAACTTTTCTTGCGACAACCAGTCTTCTAAATAACCAATTTTAAACATATATAAAGCCAGTATACAAACCCATATATATATATATATATATATATATATATATATATATATATATATATATATATATATATATATATATATATATATATATATATATATATATATATATATATATATATACATATATATATATATATACATATATATATACATACATATATATATATATATATATATATATATATATATATATATATATATATATATATATATATATATATATATATATATATATATATATATATCAGAATATTAACCAGGAATAAATTTGATACAGCGTTTTAACGAAATTGGGAATTTGTCAAAGTATTTCTTAATCACCCCCCCCCTCCCCTGAGGTTAAAATGTGTTGAGGGAAAGCATGGGGTCCTTTTTTGGTGTTCTTTTTTTTTCTACTCTACTTCAGCGCTGCATACATTGATTGATCAGTGCCAAAAATAAAATAAAATACCATCTGTATCATTAAAGATGAATATGAAATCAACACAAAATTAGCTGTTGTTACACGACGACACTGCAAATTAAGAACCGATTTCCGAATAAATATTAGGAATGATATTTTTTTTTTTCTATAAAATAATCAGTGTATATTAATTATTATTGAGAATAATTAATTTGATTTATTTTTAATCTTCATATATTGTCTTCGCTTACATTTCACAAGTATTATTTAGAATATATATTTCTTTTTCAATGTAATATAGTAAATTAACGATCTCCAATGAGCCAATGATCTTCTACTTCTAATTATTGTTTAAATTCTACTCGAAGTACTTTACAGACAAACCCTTACATCATCATGTAATAAACTGTGTCATCAAAAGAAATTTTTTGAAAACAGATAAGGTTTTAAAAATAGTAAACATGAGCTCATAAATTTCATATTTCACATTTATTGCGAGTTCAATTTTATAATTAATAATAATTTAATTTTATACATAAATCGCATAGCAAAATAAAATTATAATCACAAAGTCTCAGCAAAAACAACAAAAAATGTCGTTTAATTATAGAGTAATATTATTAGCAAGCGATTGTATGCGTGTCATCGAAGAATACCAGTAAAAATTTAAAAATTTTTACCAAATTTAGTTGATATAAAATACCAAACAAAAAAAAGAAAAACAATAATTAAAAGACTTTCCGTAATAATCGTAATTGATCAAAAGATATCTGACATAACCTTCTCAATATTTTTGTTGACAAAATGCATATTTGTTATTATTTTAGATCTTTTAGATTAGTACTTTATTTCTTGCTAACTTTTTTAGATAATATTTGTTGTTGTTGGAATGAATTGCAAAAAATTATTTTCAAACTTTATTACAAGTTGCCACAAAAGTCCCCAAAATCGCTCCAAAAATTCTTATGTTTTTTTCAAGAAACCAATTTTCGCAGTTATACAATTGTGTTTTTATACCAATAATGGTGATTTGATTTCATGTTTTATGCAATTAATGAATTAGAATTTTTTATGTTATTTTTCTATTAGTTTTGAATTAATTAATTGAATTAATTAATTTGAAATTATTTTTAGAATTATTATTAAACTTTAATTTGGAAACTTTATTTGGAGAATGGGATTTTTTCATCTTTAAATTGGGAATTTTAATTTTATGAGCATTTGGGAAAACCGCGTTTGACAGGGCGCCACAGGGCTAGTTTACATCCTGTATATATATATATATATATATATATATATATATATATATATATATATATATATATATATATATATATATATATATATATATATATATATATATATATATATATATATATATATATGTATATAAATATATATATACATATATATATATATATCAGGCTTGGTCGAAAAGCAGGTGCGATCGCACTTGATAACTGACCACGGAAACAATATTTAGTTGCGAAAAACTGGCCAGATTTTCAGTCGTTTTAAGAACATTTCAAAAACAAACAAAAAAGCGCAATAAGACTAACTACACCGATGAGAGACAGTTAAAAAAAGAAAAATAGCTTTTAACGTAAAAAACCTTTAAGCAAAATAAATACTATTAGAGCAAATATTTTTGAGTTGTCGCTCTTTTATAATTTTTTTCATAAAATTAAGTGACATTTTTTATATAAAGTAACAACTTACTATTAATGATTGTTTAATAAGGAAACTTATTTTCCGATTTATCAAAAAATATATATAACTTTTATTTATATACTTATGTCTTATTTACAGTGCTGGATTTAGGAGGTAGGGGGGGGGGAGTAGAAGGGCTATAGCCTCGGGACTCACAATGTTAGAGGCCGCAAAATAGTCAAGAGGACCATTAGGTATTTTTTTCAGTCATTTTTACGCTGTGGCACAAAAAAAAGGCCACCAAAATAATGCAGTCCCCGGCCCTGAAAAGTCCAAAAAGATTCAACCAATAAAACTAACGCTAGATGATTTATTTATAAATAAAAAAATTTTTTCAATAACTGTTTTATGCTTCATGTAGTTTGAAAAGTTTAACACATTTGAAACAATTTTTCTTAGTAAGATGAGCAAATAAAATAATTAAATCATTGAGTTACTGTAGAAATTCAATTAGCTAAATAGAAATTAACTAAAAACATTAAATTACTACGTGAGGAGGAAGCGGAACTGCTTCACAATATCGCTGATGATGTTTAGTGAGTGGGCTTTATAATTTTAATTAGTATTTAAAACAGAAAAAAGTAACTTTAAGTTCAAGTATAACGAGTTTGTAAGAATGGCTGAAGCAAAAATAATTGAAGTTAGTAAACCAATTTCTAAGAACTTAAAAATTCTCTTTCTTAAGGGAAAGAATCAGTTATCGGGTACACTGAGGAAAATGAATTAGTGGTTAAAATTATTTGTATTAACTATGATGACTATTAATAATTTCATTGTTATTAATGAAAGTATTTTTGTTTACAAAATCAATCACACAATTTGCTTTGAAAGATTACATTTGAATAAAATACACATACATAAAATTACATGTATAAAAAATACATAAAAATACAATATATACATAAAAAATACATTACATCATAAAAAATACATCCCTTATATAAAAAATAAGAATATACTAATAAAATCTATAATGTATTCACAAAACGTTGACAAGTTAAAAAAGATAAATTTAAACCATTTATTTTTGTAAACAAATAATGTTAGTTTAAAACATTTATAGCTTTGTAGATGTGGCTCCGAGAATTAAAATAATAGTTCGATTGATATTCTTAAAACAATTTATGCTAGAAATCTCAACGAAAACATAACAAAACTCAAATAATACAATTTTTAAAAATATTTGAACAGACTACTCTAGAAATTTCGGTTAGTATTTTTTGAACCAATAGAATTAGTTGTTCGTAGATTTGGCAGGTTTTTTGTGTTTTTTTATTTTTCCACACAAGATGTTTGAGAACATTCGAGTTTATGTATGTTTCCATGTATGTCCGTAAACAAACTATTTCAAAATTTATGATAAAACAATGAATTTAATTAAATGTTATTAAAACGACTAAAATATCTGGCCGGTTTTTCGCAACTAAATATTATTTCAGTGGTCAGTTATCGAGTGGAGTATTATTTCCGTGGTCAGTTATCGAGGACCGCACCCGCTTCCCGACCAAGCCTGATATATATATATATATATATATATATATATATATATATATATATATATATATATATAAAGTATATATATATATATAAAGTATATATATATATATAAAGTATATATATATATATAAAGTATATATATATATAAAGTATATATATATACAGGCTGTATATATATATACAGGCTGGGTCAGGAAGATGACCATACAAATAATATTTTGTTTTGACAATTTGACCACAGTCGAATAAAGGGCTGAAAACTTAACTTAGTTATAAAAAAACTAAAAAAACAAACTTATTTTTAAAAAAGAAATTAAATCTTCTTAAAAAAATAGTCAAAAATAAAATAAAAATAGCTCAGTAATAAATAACTAAAACAAAAATAAAAATAATAAAAACAAAACTTAACTAAAATAAATAATAAACAATAAGATTATGTTTGAAATAAAAATTACGTTTGAAATAAATAACTTTCTTTACCTTTACTAATGTTTTTATAATGTAAAACTAGTAGTTTCCTGTCTGCTTTGTTACCACACCATATAAAATTATATTAATATTAATAAAAAAAAAAAAAAGTACTAATCGACAAATAAATGTAAATAAATACTTTTTTTTTATAAAAACTTCATTGCGAATTAGTCGTATTTTTTAAAAAGATCAAACTTAACTTGCATTCTTGCAAAAAAAAAATTTTTATATTTCAAGTATATTAACTTTATCGATAATTTTTTTATTTAAAGACGAAAGAAAAATACATTAATACTTTAATTTAAAAAAATCATTAGCAGTGTATTAATACTTCATTTAAAAGCTTTTTAATAATATAAAAACATTAGTAAAGATCAAAGTTTAATTTGAATGGCTGTCTTTAATTTAAAAGTTTGTCTTTTTTTCTTCTCAACAAAATCAGCCTGTATATATATATATATATATATATATATATATATATATATATATATATATATATATATATATATATATATATATATATATATATATATATATATATACACACATATACACACATTAATGCAGATATAACTTCACATAAAATATTATTAATGGTGTCATTTGTGTCTATGTCATCGGTAGGACTTCAACTTAAGGTTATCCAGATAATATCTACATATAAAAGACACTACTGCAAAAAAAAAATTATGTTTATAATTAATATTTTTATTTTTCTATATTGTCTAAAAATGATTCAAGTCATTATTTTAAAAAGTAAAGTGAACAAACTATATTAGTACATTGCTGACCTAAATCCAGTAGTAATATGTATAAAAGAATAAATATGTATAAAATAAATGACCTAATAATAAAATAGGTGATATAAAATAATAAAAAAGGTGA